AAATCTTCGAATCGTCCATGTGGAGGTCGTGCTCAGATACCTGATGCTCAAGGAAGTCGACTTTGGGTTGAGTAAAGCTGCATTTGGAAGGCTTCGCATAGAACTTGTGATCGTGTAGTTGCTGCAGGACAGCGCGAAAATGGGTTAGGCGATCCTCTAGGGTACAAGTGTACATTAGGATGTCGTCAATGTAGACTAGAACAAAGTTCTCAAGGAGGTCTTGGAACATCGTGTTCATAGCCGTCTGGAAAGTGGTGGAGGCATTACGGAGACAAAAAGGCATGACGGTACACTCGTAGTGCCCGAAACGAGAACGAAAAGTGGTTTTGGGCTGGTCCTCCTCGGCTATGTGGATTTGGTGATATCTTCGACCTTCATGAAGAAGTGGTGGCCAGCGAGGCGGTCAAATATATCATCCGCGCGGGGCATGGGACAAATGTTTTTGACCGTGTAGTGGTTGAGACTGCGATAGTCAATGCAGAGACGAAGGGTGCTGTCCTTCTTGCGATCGCAAAGGCCAGGGGCATTCCATTGGGAAGTCCTCGGTTTAATGAAGCCCTGACAAAGCAACTCCTGAAGTTGGCTGGTGGAACAGGAACTGGACTGATGCTCCCCAAAATGGACAAGGAGCCGGAACCATAAGGTTCTGGCTTTTTTTTTCCCTTGTTTTTTGTTTTTTTTTAAGGTTCCGTCCAGGGTTGCATCCCTGCTGACCGCTGACCAGTAGGGCAGACCAGTAGGCCCGACTGGTCGGCGGTATGTCGAGCAGTCAGAAAACAACCATCCAGTGATTTTTTTTCAAATCTGAGTTGGGGGCTGTACTGCGCTTGCTGAGTACGGCCCTAATCCGCTGAGAAACTTTCGGGGATGGGGGGGTTATGGGGGGGTTGGGGTTGGAGTATAGGGGGGTATAGGGGTGATATAGGGAGTATTGGGGGGGGGTAATGAGGGTGTTGGGGGCGGTTTGGGGGTGTTGGGGGGGAGTATGGGAGTATTGGGGGCTGCTTTATTTATTTATTTTTTGCGGGGTGCCGACGACCCCCGACTGTGCCGACCAGCCGATTGGTCGGTGGGTTGGCAGCCGACCAGTCAAGGGCCGTCGACCATCAGGGGGTGCAACCCTGGTTCTGGCTATTCTTGTTTGCCATTGACCACTGCTTCCCTATCAGGGGTCAGGGCATGGTGTTGACGGGCACAGTTCTGCACGGTGTAGTCTGTGTCAAACAAATGATTGAACTGCCGCGGCGGAAGTTGCAGCGGAAAGTAAAGAGCATGCAGGTGTTTCATCGGCCTGTCTCGTCTGCAAGCCAGGGGACAGAGTGGGTCTCTGTGTCACACAGCTGGATTTGAAGCTCCTGAAGCGAGGTCTTCCTGCCGCACCTGGCTCGGTGCCAATGTTGAGTGCGTCAGTTGCGAGTGTTCAGAAGATTCACTTCTTTAAAGGAAGGATACCTTCAACGGAAAATTTGCATATCGCAGTTGGGTATTAAACTGTCATGGCAGAGGTTGAAACGGTTTTCACCTTTGCAGTAGCAGACGCAGGTGCTAGGGCTCGATCCCTAGACCTTGCCCTCACATGTGTACAGTACCAAGCCGACCCCTGTGTGTTTGAACCCGTGACCTGTGTTTTGGTAGTCGTCTGTTGTCTGTCGCAGGTTAGTGTGGTCGTCGGTTCTTGAACCGTAGGTCTGTCAAGTAGGGGTCGTAGCTGTGTGGAAGTCGTAGCTGCCACAGTCCTGAAAGGCCAAGTCTACAGACTCCGGAAGGTCTGGAAGTGGCCTTTCGAGAATTGCTCAGGTTAGGTTAGAGGCAAGTGGGCAAGTGGGCAGTCCAACTTCGCCTAGTCAGCGGTACCCAGTCCCAGTCACACTTTGTCCAGTCAGCAAGAACCATGTGGGACTGTGTGCACCCTGGGCCCGGTGGAAAGGTGCAGACCAGCGACCAACGGAAGTATAAATCAAGAGGCAGCATCCAGTCATTCATTCATTCTGCCTGTGAGCCGTGCGGAAGCGCTGCCTGAGCGTCTTGTGCAAGGAGGTCTGCAGGTGCCCGAAGGAGAAGTGGGCTGTGAGGGAGACGAAGCGGCCATCGCCGCTAGTAAGTAGGGAAGGTAGAAGACAGCCATAGCTGCCCTCGGTTAGAGGTAGGCTGTAGAGTGTAAGTGTGTGAGTGTTATGTCCAGTGTGTGCATGTGTGGACGTCCAGGGAGATCCAGAGTAGCGTGCGTGTGAACAGTCGCTGGGAATACAGTGTCGGCTGGATGTTGTGTGGGCGCACAGGCGCCATAGCCATCGGAAGCAAATTTGAATCTGAACTGTGTTCTTGACCTCGATATCTCTGAGCTTTGCGTGGGCGCGTGGTGCCAGTGTGTTTGTCATCTGTTTTCATGCATGCTGAGTGAAGAAGAAGACGAGCTGGTTGCAAGGTAATGCTCTTTGCAGGTAAGGGGGAAGGTCACCGTGGCGCTGCAGGGGTAAGGAACCATGCTGGGATCTCAGGATGACAGATGCGACTACCTTCTTCCCCCGAATACAACATACGGTCATTATAGCTGTATTTGATGCATCTTTCAGTCTAGATACAGCTAGAATGACCGTACGTTGTATTAGGGGGAAGAGGGTAGGTTCTCAGCAGAGATTACATCTGTTAAGATCAGCTTGCTGAGGAAGGGATAGTGGGAAACCCCCCGATAAGGCTGCTCCGTCGGACAGGGGGATGGGTGTTAGCGCCTTGCAGAGCAGCCGGGAGAGGCGCAGCCCCTTTGATGTTGTTTGATTCGCCAATCAGTTGTCCTCTCGGCTCCCTTCTGGTAGGTTCTCCGCTTGACGCTGCGCTGACATACATGTCAATCAGTGTAGGGTTGCCTTCCATGGCTATCTCGTGAAGGCTATCCATCCAGAAAAGGAGACCTTGCGGATGTGCAAGATGAGGAGCAAGGAAGGAATTGATTGAGAGGTTTGTTGACGATCACGTGTGATTGGCAAAGGACTGTTAAAAAAGGAGACAGATCTGTCCTTCTTTTCTTTTTTTCCTTTTTCTTTTTTTGTTTGAGACAGATCTGTCTTTACTCACAGGTATGCGGGTTGTGGCTGGCAGTGAAGACATAGGAGTTGTTCAAGGCTCCCTTTGGAAAATCTAGAGAGTACACGGTGGTTTTTCCATCTGGGAGCAATGTTAGAGCAGCTGTTGACGGATGTTAAAAAAAAAAAAAAGAGCTGCTGTTGAAGGATGTCAGGAGAGGAGAAGAGTAGTAGCATCTGTTCTCGGCCGTTTGTCTAGGAGAGGAGCAGAGGATGTCCAGCTGGCGTAGACCATTCTCAGCCTTTTGGCTAATTAGATTTAGATCCAGTGTGGTATATGTTGATTCTGTTCTGATCAGTTAAAAAAAAAAAAAAAAAAAAGAGCTGCTGTTGAAGGATGTCTAGCAGAGGAGCAGTTGCAGCGAAAAAAGCTCGTTCTGCGTTTAAACTTTCAAGCCCTATATATTTGACAAACAGAAGCACATGTATCAGTCTTGATATACTGAAGGGGAGCGGGCCTCTGCGGTGCGTGAGTGAACACTAGTTGGGGTGCCCACAGTTGGTCTTCAATCCTGTAGGCGTACTACTGTAGATGATGCATTATGTGTGCCTGTTCTTTTGTTGTGAAGAGCCATCAGTGTTGTAGTTCAGGGTTCAGAAGGTTGGTGCTAGTGCCACGCTAGTCGATAGAAGGAGGTATACTTGGTCCCGCATGAGGCACCACCCACCGCCTACGGAGTTCTGCGGTATTCTGGAACTCATGTCTCCCTACGGGAAGGAAAACCGTCCGCTTGTGGCTCTGCGGAAACCGACTCCATGAACAGATTGCCTGGGTGTTTGGGCAAATAGACTTTAGAGCTTGTCTGCACCACACAGTCCTAACTGCAATGAATGCTGGTTGTGGCACATGTGTATTGCATGAAGATTTCTGCCCGCTCCGTTGGTTCCCTGCATTGTGTGTGTTGTCGTTCCTCCACTCCTACCTGCAATTCAGACAGGTCTAGTTGTTGTGGTCTCAAGCCCTGGCCCTTTCCTGTCTTCTCCTGGTCACTTGCCAATTCTTCTTGGTCGCTTCCAGTCGCTTCTCAGTCCGGTGGTATTGTATGTCGTACCCTGTCATGGCTGTTTGGGGGGGGCACTTTTCGGATTACGTTGGCTAGACACCGGGCTAGTGCACCTGCCTTGTTTCTCACCTTTACCCTTCTTGACCCCTTGTACTCCATCCCCCCCTGCATGTGTTTGAAGTCTCCTCGACTTCTGAAGATTGCCTATTCTGTTATATTTTGGTTGCGGTCCTCTTCCATCCCTACCTTTTTCCTACTGCTCCTCAGAACCACCTGAATCTTATTTAGAACCACCTGATTCTTGCCGCCTGCAATGCGCCATCCTGCCACCTTCACGAGATCGCCATGGAAGGCAAGCCTACACTCTTCCTTCTTCAGCTCATGTCTGTTATTTTGGTCGCGGTCCTCTGCCATCCAGGCGGCAGGATGTTTCCTCCCTACACTCTTCCTTCTTCAGCTCATGTCTTTCATGGTGACAAGTAGAAGGTCCTCCACCGGTTCTCAGGAGGTGAGAAATTGTCTGGAAATCAATGAGGAGGTTAGTTCCTCTGTAGTGAAGAGATGATGATATGATAGTCGCCCTGCGCTGGTGGGCTGGTTGTCCATTCAACCATGTCCTAGATTTAGGACAAGCATTCGTAACAGGAGTCATAGACCAGTTGTGTCGACAACGTCCAGCAACAAGGGGCTGCCTTGGTAACAACCATTTGCATGGTTGTTAGGAGTACAAATAGCCTACAAAATAGACAAATAGTACAAATAGTACAAATAGTACAAATAGTACAAATGGAAATCATGCATGATTCAATTTCACTCACTTGCTGCTGAGTAGGGGCCAATCCAGCATCGGAGATAAAACACAGCATTATGGGCAATGAGTCTCGTCTCGTGTTCATGGTTTGTGATGCCGGCACAGGGTTCTCAACTTCTCAGCAGATTTTGCTTGTGCATGCTGGAGGGATAATGTCCTTGCCTTGAGGAATGGCTGCTTGTGGAGGTATGTTTCATCAAATTCGGTTGTGGGGTTTATGGTACTGTGCCACTCATGCAATGGCTCTCTCCCTGGCTCTGTTATTCTTTTGTTATCATATGACTCTAGTAGCCCCTGTCCTGTCGCCTGACATTCGCGTTTGACTCGTGAACACAATGAGCTGAAGAGGTATTGTATGGTTTGCAGTGGAAAGCTACAAGATAGTCTGCAGTGTTGTGAATGATGGACAATCACAGTCTGTTGGTCATAAGCCAGTTTTTCGATCTCCTCTCTCTCTCTCTCTCTCTCTCTCTCTCTCTCTCTCTCTCTCTCTCTCTCTCTCTCTCTCTCTCTCTCTCTCTCTCT